AAATCTACAGTGCCTGCACAGCCAGTAAGAGCAGTGACAGGACTTAAATGAAGTCCAGCTTGGACTTCTGCAAGGAAGCAGAGCTTGGGAAGGAAGCCCACATTCAGGAGGTGTGTGCAAGAAGACGAGATGGGACTAAGGTGACAGGTGAGCCAGCAGGTGACAAGGCAAGTTGAAAATGTCTGCTTTTCTTACTCAGGCATTTTGGTTTCCATCCTTTTAACAAGATTGTTCAACAGACGCTACAGACTAGAATCTAAAATGCTGGGGGTGGGAGTCCTGAATCCAGATCTTCTGATTTACTTTGTCAGCACTGTGTTATTAATATAAATTTTTAACTGTCTCCACCCCCACAAATGTAGGGCCAGGACAGAGATCAGCTTTGTACAGGATGTATCCTGTACTCATTTATATTGATTCCTAACAAGCTAATCAGATAAAAATAAACTTAGCAGCTGAAAAACAATACTGTATATTAGTTCTTGGTTCTGTAGCTCAGACATCAAGTGGGATCACTTGGGTTCTTGGTTTAGGCTTTACAAGGTTCTTGGTTTAGGCTTCAGTCAAGGTGTCAGCTGGGGTGGACTTTTGTATCAAGTCTCTGGGGAAGAATCTATTTCCAGGTTTATTTGGGCTCATTAGAGCTGCAGGAAATCAAGTCCCTGTTTTCTTACTGGCTGTCAGGGGCCACCTCTATCCCTATTCATGTGGTCCCTCCATCTTCAAAGGACAAGGGGTACACTGAATCTTTTCCATGGAATTAGTCTTCCTGGAGGCTACTACCAGGAGAAAATCTTCTTTTTGTTGTATTAAATTAGGCTTACCTGGGCCCTCCCTGGTGGCGCAGTGGGTTAAAGCACAACACTGAGAAGCTGAAGCCACTTCCGCGTGAGTTCAATTCCCGCCTGCCCCGGAGGAGACCACATGGCGTGGCAGACCTCTCCTGACCCACCTGCTGCTCCCCTCAGCAGTGTACTTCGTTGATCTGCCTGTTCTGCTCCCCGCTCTGTCTCTGGTGAAGTCTCTCGCCGCCCCTGCACCTCTGGCCTGTGCCCCAGTCTGTATGCATAAATAAATAAATCTTTAAAAAACAAACAAAAAAAAATTAGGCTTACCTGGATAATCTTGCTTTTTTTTTTTTTTTAAAGTCAACTGGCCTTCTGTCATGGCACAATCATAGGTTCAAGAGATATGGTATGAATTTCTAGAAATCTGGTCTACCATATATCACAGAAGTTTAAACAAGTGTCTGCACATAGTAAGTGCTCAAAAAAGACTTGTCAAATAGAATAGCATGGTCATGTAGTCATGGTAAAGAGAAAGAGAAGGTAGAGGTAATCAGCTGTGGCCAATACATGCATCTCTTATCAAATGAATTTAAGCAAATTATCTTTTTAAAACTCTTCATTGTCATATAACATATGCATACACAAAAAACTTCCACAAATCATGTATATGCAGCTCAAGACATTTCCTAAAACTTCTAGGTATGTGTAAACGGTGCAGATAAAGACTCAGAATAGCTGCAGCACTCCAGATGCCATCTGGTAACTAATGTTATTCCTTATTCCCCCCACACCACATGCACTAAGGGGGACCACTAATTTGTCAATGCCCTAGCTTAGTTTTGTCTTTTTTTTTTTTTTTTGAACTTCACATAAATGGAAGTACACAGATATACTTCTTTATGCCAGGCTCTTTTTTATTCAACATTCTACTTTGTGTTTTGACAGGCAGCCTCCCAGATGACCCCAGTGATCCCTACTCATGGCCTTGTCTAACCCTTTTTCCTTGAGTAACTTGCATCCAACTTATAGAATATGGCATTTCCATGATTAAGTTACAAAAGGTTGTGACTTCTGTCTTGCTACCAAACTCTGCCTTCCTGACGGCATGCTTTGATGAAGCTGGCTGCCATGTCGGAGACGCCCTTATGACCAAGTATTGAAGGGGGCCTCTGGCCAACAGCCAGCAAAAAAAACTGAGTATATGTGTCTCACAGTATATGTGGAACTAAATTCTGTATCAATCACAGGTATAGATCCTTGGCCACTGACCGTCACCAGCTCATCCTTCAAGGTGACATCAGTCCAGCCAATACCATGATTAAAGACTAGAAAAGACCCTGAAACAGAGGTCCCAGCTAAGTTTTGGTTCCATAGAGAATGAGATAATGATAATTTTAAACTATTTAGTTTTAGGGAAAACTTTAGGGTATATAACCAAAACTAAATAACTAAAGCGTATGGTTCAATTGTGTCATTATAGGCAGTTATAATTCACTCATTTTCATTACTTTTAGAACTTGGCAACCTTTTTTTTTTTTTTTTTTTTGGTATGGAGCCAGATAGGAACTTAGGCTGTACAGGCCAAAAAGAAAAACTGAAGATCTTATACAATATATAATTTTCATGTACTACAAAATATTTAAACCACTTAAACATATAAAATCCCCAAAAAAATTAAATTAAATTAAATTAAATTAAATTAATTAAATTAAAATTGCAAAACCATTTAAAACATGACCCTTAGCTCATATGCTATACAAAGACATAGGCAGGATTCACCTCTGGCCCAGGGATCATAATTCATTGACCCTGGCTACATAGGACACTTGGTGATACCCACAATTTATTTGCCCAAGCTATTATTGAAGAACATTTGGATTGTTTCCAGTTTGAAGCTATTACAAATAATGCAGCAATAACATTATTTTATATTTATTTTAGTGAAGATGTATATGTCTCTTTGTTTGACATACACCTAGGACTAGAACTTCTGGTCACAAAATAAATATATATTCAGTTTAACATGGTTTTAAATTAGCTGTATTTATTTGTATACCTGCAGGAAATACGAATCCTTGCTGTTACACAATCTTTCCAAGATTTGCTATTTTCTTCCTTTTTATTTTGGCTTTTTTTTTTTATTTTTTTCCCCAAAAGCTTCCCAGATCATTCTAACAACCAGCCAGAACTGAAAAGCCTTTGCTTGACTGCTGTTATTTTTCCTGTATTAGGTCAAAGCACATGAAACTGCTCTCTATATAAAATTTTAAAAGATAAGCACTGACTTTTTTCATGTAGTTCAAACTATTATTTCCTTCACACTTTACTTACATTTATATTAAAGATGAAAATCAAACTGGAATGCACATCAGCTGGGAAAGATCTTAAAGATGGGCTAAAATACAGCTTTTAAATTAAAAACGGGTCTCATTGACTTTTACATTTTAAATATCACCCAGATCTTTAGAAGTTTAATAACAGGCCAATGGTTTCACCTTTGCTGCAATTTAAATCACCCTTGAGCTTTTAAAATATTTTTGTCTCTACTCAACCCTCAGAAATCCAATTGTGTGAGCCTAAGGTGGGGCTTAGGAATGCATGTCTATAAAAAGCTGATGAACAGCCAACACTGAGAACAGTTGATATTGCCTTTCCTGTGGCTTTCTTGTACATTCATTCATCTAAGGACTTAACGCTTGTTGATTTTATATACTTGACGGGGCAGGGAAGTACCTGACTTTCAGACCAAAGTTTGGTACGCATACTAGGTTGTAAATACTCTTCTACTCAGGTCAAATGAGCAACTCTCCCTCCACTATACTAAGGAGAGAAATGTTGGATTTGATTTGCTCACAGTATTTTAGAAGCATAGGTATTTTTCAAAAATACACATAAACATTCATTGTATCCAATAATTGTAGGACTAAGCACACAGTGACCAGAAAAACAAGTGTACACATATACACTATTTTTTTTTTTTAAATAAAAAGGGAAGACGCAGGGAGAAAATACTAGTCATTGTGATGGGGAAGAATCAAGTCCCCATATTTCTTTAGAGCTGTTTTATAGAGTAGTGCTTGCAAAAAATAACACCCAGGGTTGAGCAGAAGTGACACCATATACAGTTCAGTGCTCAAGGCCTTGAAAAGTCTATATCCTGTTCTGAGCCAGATTTGCTTCAAAGGTCAGTTATACCCTTACCTCTGCCAGCCATAATACATAACTACAGCGGTATTTGCACACTTAGGGGGAAGAAATACATTTGGGAAATTCATCTTTATCAGTATTTATCAGCTCGATTCTATTGTTCTGTCTCTTTCTGCTTATAGCACACAAGGTAGGTGGAATTAGGACACAGGTCTAGTAGTTGAAAGAACAGCAACTCATGGGTACTGCTCAGTACTAGGCCCAATCAAGGCCCAGCAATAGGCTCCCAGGCTAGGCAAGCTCAATGTCTCTGTCTTTGGAAGCCAGATAGGTTTCCAGCACCTGATGTACCGGGGTGGAGGAATCAAGTCCCTAGAAGTTCTCCTATCTCTCCCTTGGGGAGGATAACTGCTTGAGGTTTCTAAGCTACACCCTCCTCCTGCCCTATGTTCTGTGTGGAGCCACCTGAACCATCCTAGAGGCTGAGTGAGAAGACAGCAGTATCATCTTGGCTGGATGCCCCAAACACCACACATCCCAGGACAACAAGAAACAAGTTCCAACCGCATCCTGAGCAGCGGCTCTCTGGCCAGAGTCCCAAAGAGGGCTGGTGGCTCTGCTCCCCTCACTAAATGGGTGGCTCATGAAGCCAGGGGACAAGCAGAGAAGGTCACAGCATGAACCCGAACACCTCCCGCCTCCCACAACACCCCTGCCAGGTGCTTACCCCCTCCTAATAGACCGGCAAGGTCTCAATCACGAGTACACTCCTCACACCGAAGGCAACCCAGCGCACAGCATGTTGGGAAATGTAGTCCCCACTATCTCCTGGGGCACTCCAGAGACTGTTCAAGACACAACCCCGGGAGTGATTGTGTTGCCTGGGCCAGCTGAAGCCGAGACTGCAGTCGAACGGACAGGACTGGGAGCGCCCCGCGGAGTTAGGGAGTGCTTTCCCTTTTTGGAGAGAAGGGAGAGAACTACACTTCCCAGGTCGCACCGCGCCGAGCTGGGAGCCGGCTGGCTTGCTTTGCGTGAACGCGGCAGGTTGGTCCTGGAGCAGATGAGCGCAGACTATTTAGGCGAAAGCGCGAGGAGGGGGGGAGCGCGGGGCAGGAGTACCTCCGCCAAGAAAATTATGCATGCGTTAGGGAAGCTCTGAGAGAATGGCTGTGGAAGGTAAGGGACGCTTGGGCATTTTAAGCTCCCTCTTAATCCGCGCACCCCAAATACACATATCCCTAAGGAAGCTTGGGGAACGTTGGGAGGAGAGGAAAGGGGTGGTGGCGAGCGGGCCCTTTCCTCCTCCACCTCTTGGCACACACCTGAGCCGCGGAAGATCAGTAGGCGCTTTATTCACTTGCTTTGAAAAGACAAGTGGGTGGCCTGCACTTAAGGCAAAGTGTCCCCTAATGCGAAACGAGGTGTTGGAAATGGGGGGAAAGCCGGGGAGACTGCCCTAAGGTCACCACCTAGGAGCGCCCCTTTCGCTGCCTCCTCCCGCCAACACGGGCTGGGTGACACAAGGCTGGGGAGTCTTGATTTGCACCGGACACGTGAGCACGGACCCTGGCCAGGTACCTTGAGGGGTAGTGTGGACTGTGAGTGGGTCGAGGGTCCTGGAGGAGTCCTTGGCAGCGGCTGTTGTACCCAGAGGGTTGGAGGTTCCCCTACACCTGCCTCTGTTTATACAACCCTCCTGGGGGTTGCAAAGTTTGCAGAAACAAAATGGACTCACTAGGGAAGAAAGGACAACCGACCTCTTTGATTTGGGAGAATCCTTTCCTTTGAAGACCACTTTCCTCTTTCCTGCTATCATTTTGGCCTCTGGCTTTGCAGTTTTGACCCTAAAATCCTGCTTCCCTTGAACTTCCTGGTTGAAAGCAAGGTCTGGTGGCTTGTGAGGGATTCCGACTTTTCCTTTTACCTGGGAGCATAGGCTTTCTTATTGAGGGCATTTCTTGAGGGGAAAGGGGGCATTTTCCTTTTACCTGGGAGCACAGGCTTTCTTATTGAGGGCATTTATGAGGGGGAGGGGGCGGGCGAGGGAGGAGGAGGAAATGTGGACCTGGCGTATTTGTCAAACTGCCTGAAATTTTGTCATGGGGCTGAAGAAGAGCCTATGTTTTTTTATAAAATGATGGTTCCTTAGTGTGGCTCAGGTCAGAGGGGCATTGGGGTAGGGAAAAAAGGGCATATCTCCCAGCTGTTTCAGGCTTCTTGCCAAGGAGAAATGAGCTATTCCTTGTAGGCTAGAAGCAAGAAGGAACTACTGAGCTTGCTTGCTTCCCTTTCCACCCCAAGAGAGAGAAACTGAATTAACCTGACTCTTGCTGTCTTTATAATTACTTAACCTGAAGTTGCAACAACCCAGCTCCTTCTCTGGGCAACCATGAACTCAGCCAACAATTGCCTTTGGGCTGTCTCGTTTCAGGGATTCCCAGGTGGCCACTTCTAGCTATCTTACTTTATTATTTTATAAATAAATATATTATTTATTAAATTTTCAATGTCATAGCTTTATAAAAACCTACATATAGCATTGAAAAGTACAAGTAGCCAAAGACTTTAAAGTTTTCTTTTATGTGCAAATGCAAAAATAGTATGAGAATCGGACTTTTTGTGTTGTGATAGTGAGAGAAGATTTCAGGGAAAAAAAAAGAGAGATAAATTCATTCTGAGCTTGAGGTCGAAGGTATGCTGACCTGAGACTCCTTCCACTCACCTTCAATGGCATTGGTTATCATCCGGTCATCTTCTGAGTCACAAGCTGAGGGTCACTGTAGACTGTTAGTCTACAGAGTACTGCAACAGGTTTCTGCTCCCTATAAGAACTATAGAATTAGTCATATTTCTTGTATGAAGTGCTGTTATACCAGCTAAGTCAGATCTTATAAAAACAAGGTCTTTTTAGTGACTTACTTGGCTAACGTGTATAGCAAACAAGAGTTCCTGGGTTGAATCACAGTGTCTCAACTTGAAAAATGAAAGTAGTCAGATAAACTCAGGATTCCTTTCTCTCTGGTCTCTGCCAAGGCAGTTTTCTGATCCTGGGCTGTTCCTGGATCAGTCTCACTGTTCCTGGTCAGTCTCACTTGGTGTTTCAAAGCTTAAGGAAAACTTCACCTCCTTGGAACTCTGTCCTAGATCCTCGCCCATGGCTTTTCAAATTCTGCCTTCCCAGTGCTCTTCCATAATCTCCATGGGAGGTGCTGCCTGAGCTAAGCATCCCTGGCACCTGTGCTGACAGCTACCCTAACACTTAGCACACTGAATCTCTCACTTAGAACATAGGGCTCTCACTCTGGGGTTTGACTTTATAGTCCAGTCAATAGCACAGTGCCTGGCTCAAATAGGCAATTAATACATCCTCACGAATGTGTAGAAAACAAACTCAAGGAGATTTTGCAACTGATTCCATAATGATGCAGAGGGAGCCAAAATGTCATCAAAGGGCCTTTTGAGAGATTTGAAAGTGAGAGATATCTTCAGAGTCTTTGTCCTGATGGTCAAAGGATCTTCTAGAACAGCGATTCTCATCTGGGAAGAACATCACCCTCTTTCGACTGCTACTGCTGGGACTGGTGTGGGCACTTTGTGCTTGCAGACCAGTGATGCTGAGTGCTTCTCTCAGGGGGCCATTCCTGTCTAAGAGCATGTCATGAGCAAAGGTCCCAAGGCCATTGCGAAACACTGGTTCAGAGGATTTGGAGTCTTGGTGGAGAAACTGGAATAAGAAATAGAATCCATGTTACTTAATGTCTGAACTTTTTTCCACATCTGGAGAAAAAATGGGCACACACATGACTATTTACTTCCCAGGACTCTTGTAAAGATTCAAGGTGATAATTCATAGAAGGGTGCCTTGAACCCAGACCCCCAGTATAGTCACTTGTACCCCTTCCATCTTTTTCCTTCAAAAGCTTGACTGGCGCATGCTTTATAACCCGAGTGTTCATTTATTTATACCAATAGTCTAATTAGTAACACATTAGAAAGTTTTTACGATGCGCCACCTGTTTTCTTAAATTAGCTTGAACTTGTAAAAGTGTTAAGAGTGAGTAGGGAGCTCATTCATCTTGCTGAACCCGTAGTCCTGCATTTACGATGAAAACGAAGTGTCTTTTGTTTCTTTTTCGGCTACTCCAGGTTATGTTTTCTTCCCTAGTCTAGTGGCAATATCCTATTTCTAGTCCCCAGCCTAGTGTGGCCTGTGCGCTGCATCCATGCGCACTGGGCAGTGTAAACACCCACTTTGCAACCTAGAACAAAGGGCAACTTTATGGTCCACTCTCAGATTGGGATTATATTGCCATCCATTGGCTTCCCCCCCCCAAAAAAAGTGTGTTGTAATAAACAATTCCCAATAGGTATAAGACTAGTACATGTAGCACGGAGGTAGCAAGCAGAAGCCATGGGAATCCACCTTCCAGGGAGAAACTGGATGGAGCCGCCTACTGAGGTGTGGCTTCCTCCAGGAAATGGGCTGCAACAGTATAAAGGGTGAGAAAACAGTTTCCTCCGGTCTCTATATTCCAAGAAGTGTACCTGGCATGGAGCGGGGTTGTAGTAATTGTTTCTTGAGTGAAGTATGACGTGGCAGAGCAAAAGATGAATTTTCTATTCTTTGTACCAATTGCTCTCTTCTATTCTCAGAGCTGTACAAGAATAGGGGGTTGGATGATCATTATACATCATGTTTTTTATTCCAGGTCTAGAATAGCCCCTTTTATATAGCAGGAAAATTATTTCCAAAATTCAGCACCCATTCCCTCACCCCCCCCCAATAAAAAAGATTTCAAATGGAACCAAAAACATGCAATAGTCAGTTGCTGCAGCAAAGAGAAGCAATACTGGGGTACTGGGCTTTGGGGGCCTAGTCCCTGGTGATTCTCTTCTTTGCTAGAGTTCAGAACTGGGTCACAGAAAGTCACTGTGGTTAATTCAAATATTCTTTTTATTACAAGGTGACGGGTTATTTTGTCCGACTCTGGGTCGGATGGTGACGTGGACTTGGCTGTGCTGCTCCCCAGCGGTGACCTTGGGCCTCATTGTCGTGCCTGCTTCTGTAGCCAGAATGCAGAGAGACTGAGTGGGTGGTGCCCTGCGGGAGGGGGGCCTCAGCCAGCCATGCCTGCCTCCCTGTCACAGACTGGCATGTCCATAGCTGTCATCCCTCGAGTGAAGAGAGCCCAGGCGAAGGCGGGGAGAGAGAAGTGCCGTCCTTCTGGTCTTCCTCTGTCGGACATGAGAAACAGCATGGAAGGTGGCACTTCATGGTGCACGCCTTTTTCTCACCAGGTCTCCTGTTGAGAGCATTGTGTGCGCCTGATCTTGATGGTGCTCTCTGAGGGTGGGCACTGTCTTAGGCCTCACCGTGGTAGACCTTGCATGCCACTTGTTGAACGAGGGCATACATGAATGTGAGGGCAAAAGAATTACTGGGTAGGATTGCTGGGCCTGCTGATCTCCACAGTCCCAGCCTGTCACCCCAAAGGGGAACGCCCCACTGCATCGTGGGCACAGTAGCCATGTAAAGACCGTGGGACTGTGGACAGGACTCTCTGACAGGTGCCCACCTTGCGACACAGTGTTGTGCTTGCTCACACAGCTGCCACTTGATCCTCTTCCCTTTCATCCGTTATCAAGGTCCCTTCCCCCCCACCCCCCAGTATTTATTTTATCCTCTAGTCCATGAGACCCACCTTTCCCATACCAGGTCCTTCTTCTAATCACTGTTCCAGGACCTGAGAATGGCAAATAGTCGCCCATCATGAAAATTCCTGTCCAGTGACTGAGAGAGAAGTGGGGCCTCAAAGCCTCCAAAACTTACTGTTCCTGCCACTCCCGTCTCTACTGCAAGCCTCCCAGCCAGCTCACACAGGGCTTCAGTGTAATCTGCTGTTGCCTTGCTGGCCCAGCCCTTGCTAATTCCTTTTGACCCACCTTTCTTTCTCTCCTGTTTTGCTGAGCTCTTTTGCCAGAGGAAATGGGTTGCTTATTAAATGTGGAAAGGCCATGCAAAACTTCTGCCGGTGTAACTGTGTCCTGGAATGCTGAATCATAGCAGGGGCTGTGGTGACATGTCACGGGAGCGGCCACCAGGAAGCTGCAGACTGTGCCTGAACTCTGGAAGTGAGGGTCCGATGCTGGGCATTGAGCTAGTTGAGGGCCACTGG